CTGTTTTTAATAAATAGTGATATTTCCGTCCAGGATCTTTATTTTATAAGTTTTGTGTGTAAGTGACATCGTCTCCCCGAAAATTAGTCTATTTTTAATAAATAGTGATATTTCCGTCCAAGATCTTTATTTAATAAGTTTTGTGTGTAAGTGACATCGTCGTCCCGAAAATTAGTCTATTTTTAATAAATAGTGATATTTCCGTCCAAGATCTTTATTTATAAGTTTTGTGTGTAAGTGACATCGTCTTCCTGAAAAATAGTCTGTTTTTAATAAATAGTGATATTTCCGTCCAGGATCTTTATTTTATAAGTTTTGTGTGTAATTGACCTCATTGTCTCAAAAAATAATTCATTCTTTTTAAAAATGAAATGGAATAATTATTTCTGCTTATTATCATGAATTTTAGGCGCGATAAATTTTATGCACGTGACCTCATTATCTTGAAAAATAATCTTTCTAATAAAAAATGTGATATTTTATCTATGTTAGAAATTTTGAATGCCGTAAATTAGAAAAATAAATTTATTTATTTTTATTGTCTATTGTTAGAAATAAATGTGATATTTCTGCTTTTAGTAAAATTGTGATATTTCTTTCTACTGTTTTGAATATTTAAACATTGTAAAATTCATGTGTAAATGACTGCCTTATTATTTAAAAAAATTGACATTTTTGCAATTGATTATAGTATTGTTGTGAAATGTTTATTTGTGGATTGATATCCCATAAATTGTGATAATTCCGTATTCTTGAATTTTTATAAGAGTTTTTCTATACATATTAAATTGGCAATTATGCTAGAATGCCTTTACAAACTGCTACCTTTCTAAATTTGAGCCCAAAATATTTGATTGGTTATTTTTTTAATATTATAGAGAGTGACTGTTATTAAATGGTTTAAGTGAAATTCATATTAATGATTTCAGTGATATGTTGAGTACATGATATTGCTGCTTTCGAATGTTTAAAGAGATTTAGAAATAATTTAAGTATGCAAGTGGACTCATCCGGTTCGCCGGTGAGGTATAAGTGGACCTATCTGGGACGTCGGTAGGGATTAAGTGGACTCATCCGGTACGCCGGTGAAGTATAAGTGGACCTGCAGGGATTAAGTGGACCTATCTGGGACGCCAATAGGGATTAAGTGGACTATCAGGACGCTGATGGGGTATATAGGTGACCTACTTGGGACGCCAGTAGGGTATTTTGTGAAATCCTTTGAATTATGTACTGCCGTTAAAAGTGTTATAAACATTTAAATTACTCGGATTATACTTAATTATGCATTTATTGAAAGTGAAACTGTTGATGCATTTCTGTTAATAGATCTTCTTTTTGAAAATATTGATATCTTTCAACCATGATTATTTTTAGGATTATGATGATCACTTACTGAGTAGCCAAACTCATCAAACTATGGTAAACATTTTTCAGGATAACTGTGGTTTCATTTGTGTCCTCGTCAAGATCAACTTTGGGAAGATATTGTAGTTTTCTTTAAACTTTCTTTTGTTACTTTGTAAGACTTTGTCACTGTAAATTTGTCCTATCAATAGATGTATATATGTTTTGTCTGTCACATCTCGAGGTGTCACAAATAAAAAGCTATTTTCATGCAAAAGGATGACTATCCACTGCACATGAACCCACTAACAACCAACAGGTTCCCAAAAAACATGGATATAATCAAATGATTAAAGGCCATCATACATTTTTGTTGATAAAGTGACGTACGGGTAAAGAGGATAAAGAAAGAACGATGTTTCTCGCTATAAAATGAGCCAAATAATTTCATATATAAAAGGAAAATAGTTAAAGACTGGTACAAAGCCGTAAACCATTTTGAAAAGCAATGATCTATTCGACCTCAAAATTTGTACACATGTGGATGTCATCTAAATAATTCAAAAATAAAAAATAAAAATGAACTCTCACAGAAAGGGGAAATGAATCTATTTTGTTCGATGAATGCGCATCGTCTAATTAGTGGATTGTGAATTTAGATCTTCATCTCAAATCGTTTTTCTGTTGAAATTTTTGTTATTCAAACCAAAGATGTACAAAACTTCAGCCAAAAAAAATTACTACAGCTACTTGTTTAAGCACGACTTACATTGTAGCTACAAGCCCGTTGTCTTCGTAGAAATTTATTGATAATTCATTTGTTTTAACAAAATTAGTAATCATAATGATTTATATATTGTTTGGTATTGTCACCAGCATAATATCTATGATGAACTAGTAGGCAGTTTCACATAAAACGTTTTTTCTGAAAAACTTATTTTGCTTGGTGTAACTTTATCCAGTTTCACATAAAACGTTTTTTCTGAAAAACTTATTTTACTTGGTGTAACTTTATCCGGATGCGATCATATAGGAGATAAAAGGAGCTCTCTTTATCCAAACAATAATTGAACCAAATTTTACACAATACAAGGTTGTGTACGAAATGGCTAAAAAAATTTATATTACGCATAATATATTAATTTTCGATGAGGCTGTTTATTCCTGATAGAATTAACTGTCATTCGGATAAGCCCTAAAATAATTTATGAACCTTTTACCTGTTGGATATGGTCATATCCAAAATCATCTACATTAGAAAATTCCTTATTATGTGGGATTGAGATTGATATTAATAAGTTTCCTAAAGAAATAGAAATCTAAAAAGATTAGGATTTTGGAATATATCTCTTGGTTCTTGAGATATATATAACATCTATAGGAAGTTTCATATTTGATGTAGATTCCTAACCTTCTACATATAAGATGAAAGTGCAGAGAATTTATGTGCCCTATTTGGGTCACCAAATGGGAAATCTCTCTTCCTCTAGAGAGAGAGGCAGGGGCATCTTGTGCATGAGAGAGCAAGAGCTAGGCGAAGCCTACCCTTAAAGAGCGGAGAGCTTCCTACGGAGAGAAACACGAGAGCTTCCTACAGAGAGCAGGTCTAAAAGCCGAGAGCCAAGAGCTTCCTAAGAAGAGAAACACGAGAGCGGGTCTAAAAGCCGAGAGCCGAGAGCTTCCTAAGAAGAGAAACACGAGAACTTCCTATAGAGAGCGGGTCTAAAAACCGAGAGCCGAGAGCTTCCTAAGAAGAGAAACACGAGAACTTCCTATAAAGAGCGGGTCTAAAAGGGTTTGCTCGATTGGGTTTTATCGAGGGTTAAAGAGGTAACTCTATATCACAAAATCTAGGATGTAACTTTCAATGGTATAGTGGAATTCAGTTTTAGCCCTATTGGGATGAATCACATAAATCTTTGTGTTTTTGTGGTGTGTGTTTCATGCTTTATTTTTCGTATTATGACTCGTGCTCTCTCTTATTTTGTTTCTAGTTGAATAAGTACACAATATTAGTGGAATTCTTGTTCCCACATCTAAGAAGGTTCTTAAATCCTAACATTACCTGCCCTAATTACAAGACCCAAATGAATATCACAATTAACCATTGGAAACTACTAATCTCCCACCTCCTTGCAAATCAATAATCACAACTCAAGCAAGCAAACAAATGGCATTTTTCTCTAAATTCCACCTTCATTGACTATCTCCCAAACAAGAAAACGGCTCGAATAATTGGACCCTAAACAGTTTCAAGCCAACACCTAGTTTGAGTTAATATGCCCCCATGACAAAAGCAAAAGAATTGGTTTCAAATGCACTTGGGCAGTTCCAAAAGAGCCAAAACTGCTTTTGCAAATGCACAACCGAATCAATTAAATGAAGGAATAGATACCTAGTTACTTTTGCCCTCATATATGCAGGAAGTGTTAGTACAATTCCATAGCTTCTTTGGGGTGGAAATGGAGGCCATGCTTAGAACAATGGCACGAGCCGTGTCCTATGCCAAGAAGGCCAGGCTTACAAGGTAACAAATTATGGCTTTATTGGTATATTTTTAAGTATTAATGAGTAGGAATGGAACTTAAGATGTCATGGTATAATAATGTATTTGGTTTTCTTTTACCACAATATATCTCATAAAATAAAGTGAAAATTATAAATACCCCTGAAATATACTTTATAGACATCCAATCCCTTGATACTTTTCATGTCATACTCTTAAGCCAATTATTGTTTTTCTTTACTTACTCCTAAGTAAACAAGAAAGCCATACTTACAAGGTAATAAATTATGGTTTTACTGGTATATTTTTAAGTATTAATGGGGTAGGAATGGAACTCAAGATGTCATTGTATAATAATGCATTTGGTTTTCTTTTGCCACAATATATCTCATAAAACAAAAGGAAAATTATAGATACCTCTGAAATGTATTTTGTAGACATCCAATCCCTTGATTCTTTTCATGTCACACCCTTTTGCCAATTATTGTTTTTCTTTACTTACTCCTAAGTAAAAAAAGTCATAATTTTTATAACAAAACTACCCTTTTTTGCCACATACTCTCACGTTTCCATCAACTCACGTGGCACATCGAAGCAAAAATGGGAATTGATCCAACACAAAATTTGCCCAAAAATATGGTCCGGCATATTCATAACAAAACAAGTGCCAGATCGAAAGATTATGGCCAAAAATTTGGTCTAGCAGGAACGTGTGCAAGATTGGTCATCAGAAGCTACAAGCCGGTCCGGCAAATTTTTTGTCTGACAATGGTAAAAACAATAAAAAAATACGGTCCGGAACAAAAGTGTACTGGATTGATAGTAAAGCTTTTGGAATTCAAAGCCAGAAGGCGATCCGGCACACTTTTGTGCCAGCAACAATCTAGGTTTCACCCTGCCTGAGCCTAACTTGGGATCCTATAAGGCTAGCTAGGCCTTGGCGGGCCACTGGCCCAAGCCCTGATCGGAACCCTAGAGGGCACCGCTTGGCTAGGCCGTGTTAACGGGTTGGGGCGAGCTTGATATTATATACTTTTTGAAGTTCATGAAGAACAATGGAAAAAAGAAAAGGAAATGACCCCTATTTCCGGTGGGGCTGATTGGGCTGCTGCCATTGCCACCCCAACTTTATGAAATTCAAAAACTTCAAAATTATCATTCAAAAAGCATTCTTGCTTGAAAATTGTCATGCTTGAGGACATGTTCGAGTTTGATCTGCACAATAAAATATCTCGAGCACTTTTGCAGGAACACCTACACGAACAGGTACCAAAAGGAAAGTTGCATGGAGGACCTAGTGGGAGAAGTGGGTAGAGATAGACAGAGAGAGGATTTGGACAAGGCCTACAATGAAGTATGCTGGATTCCTGATCAACGGTCCGGCATCTATTATCCCAAGGGGCAAGAGCGAATCATGGTACAAGTGCCTGTAAATGCTGCGATGATCGATGAGATTCATTGGTTTGGCGGTTAAGATGATTTCGCCAAGCCTCTCTAGAATTGATAATTCTTTAGATGGAAAAAGTTCATATAAGGTCGAGGTCCTAAACGATCAAATTAAATTGCACCTAAAAAAAAAGAAATGTTGTTTTGATACTTAAGTATCCTCAAATCAATCATCTCGACCTTAAAATGTATGGATATATGAAAAATGAATTTTAATCTTTAAAAATAGTGCAAAAATAAGGGCAGAACTGGAATTGGAGCTTACATACATAGTCTAATAGGGTGCTATAGACACAAAATCAAAGTGACGCAACAAAAGTGTGTTTGGCCCATAACCCTCATGTCTCAAGATTTAAAACATGGCTTTGATAGTTTCCTTTCTTCCCCTTACGCTTTATTTACTCGAAAAAAAAGGACAAAAAAGAAATATGGTGCTATAGACTATAGTATGTGCCTATGGATATTATAATGTATAAAATGTGGTCCATAGGGTCATGGTAACAGCATTAACATGTGGATTATCACCGTCTAAACGATTAGACATGTTGGACGGTGATGATGGCATAGGATGTAAAGATAAATTAATGCTATATGTGGTGGGACCCACTCCCTACATCTTCCAATCTAAAGATGAGAAGATAATAGCCTCATAGTCAAGTTGCTATCATGATTTATAACAATATGTAGAGAACCCAACATGTACGATGTTTGTAGATTATGACTCATCACATCGTACAGTATGGTCATAGGGTTATCACTATCCCATCAATGGGCTCTGTGGCGGTGGACTCAATCCCCATCTTCGAAATGCCAATAGATTTATTGGGATCTATTTACCAACTATCACCATTCATACCTTTAAAACCCAAAGTTGGGTTTTAGATCGCCCACCTACTATAATTTTTATCAGTTTGATCTGAATTGGTTGAATCAATAAAAATTATAAAAAATTAATAAAAAACAATATAAAGCAATTCCCAGGGGGAGATCCAGATCGCTGACCCATTGAATCAGATCCAAATCAGTGATTCCCTATCTTCCCTATCTGGATCTATGATGTGAACTTCAGTTGTTAGAGAAGTCTTTAACGTTTTCTTTTGGGGAATTCAGTTGTAGGAATGAACTTGGACATGGTGTTGCAATTAAACAATATAGTTACTGGTGTCAAAAAAAAGTTTTTGGATTGGCTTGTTTGTTTAACCTGTAGTCTATCTTCTATGCTCTCCAGTAATTTATATGTATTTCATAGAGGCCCACGTGTGATAAACAAGTGAAAAGAAAAAAAAAATCCTATGGGGATTAAATTAATTATTGGCTCATTGGCTAAAAGGATACTATTCAAAAGACAGCTTGGTTTACTATACTATTATAGCTCTCCTTTGAAATCCCTCCTTTTTTGCATAAATTTATTAGGTCAAAGACAAGATCTGACCATCCAAGGTTAAAAAAATGACTGCAAAAGAATGGACATATTATTGCCAACGGTGATACATGTGAAAAAGACTTATTTTCTTGCAAAAGTTTATATAAGGGCGAGGCCCTAAACAATCAAATTAAGGCGTACCTCAAAAATTCCCTAGAAGAGGTTGTTTTGATGCTGAGAAAATCTCAATTCAATCATCTCAACCTCAAGATGTATGAACATAAGAAAAAATAGATTTCAAGTATTGAAAATAATGTATCTTATACAAAATCTAGACTTTCAATTTTCAATATTTTCAAGTGTTTGTAGATTTCCTCAATCTACTCTATTTTGTAATCTTTAGATTATACAATTGGAAATTAAAATAAATTTTCAAGCCATTATAAAAAATTATGATACTGGAACAATGTATTTCACACTAGTCGCAGCCCTTATATAAAATGTCTCCTAGCTATGACACAATGTCCATCTTACTCAACATAGCTCGAGTTGGATTAGGATCGTTGGCTAGGCGATTTTGGTTTCAGGATCTTGAGTTGTTTACCCCAAATAGGTGGAGTAAAGCTCCGATGATGATGATTATGATTTCAGCTTTTCGTTTTATTTATTTGTTAAATGCAACAAATTTGGCTTGAGAGTCGCCTGACTCAAACATTTTGAATCAGAATTGGACACGAACGAGTCAGTGGCCCGCTTCAAATGTTTGAAACGCTTGATTGGTTCTTAGTTTGTAGTTTGTAAACTTTGTATTAATAATACAAGGGAAAACAATAAGGAAAGGATGCTACCTTATAATGTAGAACTACGGATGTCTCTCAAAAATCTATCGAAAAATGTAGTTTTAATATTGAAAAACCCTTTGATTGATCATCTCAACATCGAGTTGTGTCTATAAAAAAAAAATGATTTTAAATCTCAGAAATAGTGCATTTTACAACATATTATCTACACCGTCCA